ATATTTTCTATTTGTTCACTTTGCTGTCTATGAATAACAAACACTGAACAATAGTTCATATACAGGAATTATTAAAACTAGTACATTTGAAGCATTCTCATTATTGGTAATACTGGTAGAATTACGAACAAAATGTTAGGTAAAAGGACACAGAAGCAACAAGTGTGACAGTTTATTATGGCAAAGTTTCACTGTCCAGGAGTGCAACTTTGCCACAATAAAATGTCACATTTGTTGCATCTGTATCCTTTTACCTAATATTCTCAGTTTTAGCAAGTCTGTGGGGATGGTGAACAATCTCTCTGCACTGTCTAACCCTGACATCTCTTCTGTCCTGAACTGAGATCAGAGCACACAATAAGTCAGACACAAGAGTATAAATAATTTAAATGCCATGACATTAGTGTGACTTCTCATTGTGAATGATCTCACTATCCTGCATGTTACTTGCCTGGCTAAGAATGCATTTGCTTCATTACGTTCTCTAAATTAGATAGGAATAATCACGTCAGATGACTAAGTCTTTTACAACTTTTTGTTCTGTGGAAGGGCCTTCATGCATTCAGTATACTCTGATTTTATTAACACCTCCATCCTTTTCATACTAAAGCATTTAGAATCTGTCCCTACTGAACCTTGTGCCATATAGTGTCTTCACATGCAAAGAGACTATCTAATGTGTGTCTTCTACCAAAACAACTGTCATACTTTTGGTTTCATTCACAAAGAATGAGTACAAGCTACAGTTACTGTTGTAATCCATTCCTGCTATGAGGATGAGGATCAATACAGGAACTAGGACCATGTGCTATAATATTAAATGTTTTTTACTACCATTCTTTACAAACTCCTACTTGTAAGAAAATATCTTTTTTTTTTTTTTAACACACTGGCTGTCTCCCACTGATGCAGGGTGACCTAAAGAAAAACTAAAGATTTTCTTTTTTACACATAGTAAAGTATGCAGGAGAAGGGGTTACTAGCCACTTGCTCCTGGCATTTTAGTTGCCTCTTATGACACGCATGGCTTACAGAGGAAAGATTCTTTCCATTTCTCCTTGGAGATGAGAGATTTCATTTTCACAAATTTGAAGCAGAAGATGAAACATTATGCTAGAAACATGACCTTAACAGTACCCTAAATCAACAAAGGTCAAGTTTCAACCATGTCTGACAGGTTCTCAATGAGCCCAAGGAAAACAGAGCCTACTAAATAATAAAATATACAGTGCTCTCGATTCAATCTTCAAATCAACAAGCTAACCACTGACATCACCTCACTCTTGGATACAAGACACATCAAAATCTCACATCCTGCAACAAAAAAAACTCCACTGCAAAAGGATGTTTAATAAATGTAACAATGCATTCAAATCAAAGCTTCAAATTCAACATGACTAATTCTATGCACACCAGACTAAATTGCAGACTATTGACTTGCCAATGTTCAGAAGGTACAGTTCTATGTACCCAGCAGTTTTTGGCATCTTAATCTTTGGGATATTATGGGTATATTATCGTCCAACAAATTTTTACCCATCTACTCCCTTCACCAGCCATAACCGTCAAACTCTTTTACCACTCCTCCAGAACTTATGCAGAGCCCTCTGGTATTTGCTTATTTAACAAAGCATCACTCATTATTACCTATAAATCTGCTATCAAAACTCTGGGGAGGAATATGAGAAGTGTTTAGAAACATGAAGTCATTAATTCCCAGGCAATGATCATTTAGAAATATGGGGTTATTAATTCCCAGTCAGTGGCCATTTAGAAACTAAGGTATTAATTTCCAGTCAGTGATCATTTTCATACTGTTACTAGTGTGCATATACATGTATTCTAATTAATGCAAACTTTCGTCCCTCATTTTCATGAAATTCCTTTCACCACTTTTTTTTCTTTCACTTTTATATGAAGGCATATTAAGAGTTGAGTGTAGAAGCTCATAAACTCCAACTTTCAGGAAGATTCTTGCGGCTCAAAACTAACAAACATCCATTTCCTACCTAGGTCTGGAGATCAAAGAAAAACACATTCACAATCACTTGTTCTCAAACTATCTTTCTAGAAAACCAGGGACAACACAATCCAATGACCTACTTTAAAGCAACATTCACACAAAACCTATTTAAGTGCAAGTTCTGAATGTCCCACCTTCCAAACTTAAGTTCACCCAATTGGTTTTCCTGCATACCTTCATAGCCATGCTCTTGTTTCATGACTTAGCCATTCAAAGGTTACTGTAGACTTATGGAAGACTGCAACTTGAGAGGCCTAACCTAGGAGAAATTTATTTTACATGGTTGGTTATACAGTTAACCAATGTGTGTGCATGTGTGTGTGTACACACCAATGCCTCCAAGAGCCCCTACATAAGCAACCATTAACTCACATTGTACACTAGAACATACAACATATGGTGCATCACACTAGATTAAGAGAGGACTAGAAACAAGGGGGCATAATGAATGTTAAAGACAATGATGGGCCATAGGAATGTTACCAAGTGCTTCAAAAACAGAACAAGTTAGAGGAGAAGGCTCTTTCCATTAACAACTTAAAAAATTAGGCATAACTGAGCCCAGGAGGTTCAAGTCTAGGAAGCATGGGTTAAGACAACTCAAGAGACAGGGTAAGAAAAATGTATCAACTCTGCAAAAACAACTCTGATGGCACAGCAGAATGATGCTATAACAGTTTGAGAGGCCAGTCACAAGAAACCAGTCTGGCTTTTAGAGTCAAAACAAAATAAGCTGTATCAGTCTAGGGCCCTCCTGATCACAACTCGCATGTACCGAGTACACTGCATATAAAATGAATGAGAAACATCCAAGGGTCAGGGATAGTCACCTCTGCAGGCCTAACTTTCTGGAAGCCTGACCATCAACAGCAGCATTACATTATCAACATCAGAATTAGAGTACTTTAAGATATTACCCACTACTGACATAACCTGTGGATGGATTTGATACAATTGCAATCAGGCAAACTTGTGACAATCATTTTATAATTCTAAGATGAAATTTTTGTGAAGTGCAGTGCCTCCACTCTGAAGGATGGGTGGGGGATGATGCAGTTAACAGTCATCTGAACTGTGATGTTGTGCACTTCTGGTAAGATGATTAATGAATGAGGTAGGGTCAATAAACAACTAAGAATTATCAGACATCAGGTATGCTTCTAGGCAAGTAAAAAACTGTTGCATTTAAGATATAGTATAAGATAAGATGACAAGTGCCAAAGAATGAGAACAATCTTAAGATTGTTTCAACACTTAAAAAAAACAATATACGGTGGAACCCCAAATACCGGCCGTAACCCGTTCCAGAAGGTCGGCCTAAATTCGAAGCAATATTTCCCATAAGAATTAATGTAAATACAATTACATGCAATCCGTTCCAGGAGGAGAGTTTGTTTGACGTTAATATCAACTCTAATGCTTAATTATCTATCACAATTGATCTAATATGACAAAATAAACAATATAAATAACAAAAACCTGATATACACTCTAGAATGAATAAAATATGTCATTACGTATGTGAGGAATGGTGGTGGTGTTGTTAAGTAATCAGGGCCACCAGCAGCATAAGCCGTACATATAGTGCTGGTGGTAGCGACGGTGGTGTTGTCAGTGGCCCTATATACCTCCAACTAACATTGGAGGAGTTAGTTTCATGTCCTTTTTCTATCGCTTAATCACTTAACTTACTTGCTACACTGTTAATGCTACACTTTATTGCTGGTTGGCAATATAGCCTTTATCAACTCCTGCTGCTTTAGTATCGTACATATCATAGAGTCACTGAAGAAGGCACAGTCTCCCCTCTCTCTTCCTCCTCCACTTTCATACTTTGCTACAATTTCTTTCTTCAATTCTATCGTGTTTCTCACTTTCTTAACCAAAGGAACTTTACTAGAAACTTTCTTTGGGCCTAAGGTGGCCCAAATCAGCTGAAATATGGAGCAAAATTTCCGCCCAAAAACGAATCGGCTGATAAACACAGCAGCCGATATTCAGGGTTCCACTGTACTACTCAGTTTGCTATTATTGGCACTTATGGCGAGACTTCAAAAACATTATACGGTACAACTTACACACAAATTAAAAATAAGAACCGGATGATGTTTCAGTCTATCCAGGAACATTATCAAGATGAAAGCCATATTAGACCAAAGGTATACAATATCGACAAGTTCATGAAAATGACATGTACAACACCTGGGTATCTTTACTGGAGTGACATTTGGCCTATGCAGCAGACTTTTTGATCAAATACAGAGGCATGAAGATGGAGACCTTTATACTGGAGTCAGAGGAAGAAGTGTTGTCTGATGCAATAACACCAAAGAATCTTGATATAGAGAATATCTTCTACAGGTCCACTACTAACTTATGGCCCACCTTATGGGCAACACCTACTTGCACTAGTGCATCCCCCCCACCTATGATGATGTCTTCAACTGTTGAAACCTCGCCACTTCTTGCACTGGCTCCACTATAAAAGTCTTCACCCTCATACCTCTGTATTAGCTTGAAAAGCCTGCTGTGCAACCTAAACATTTCTCTATTAAAGATACCCAGGTGTTGAACATGTGTCTTGTTATGTAGTACTGAAAATGGTCCAGAACTGACCAAAACATGGATCAGTATTCATTTTCAACTTATTAGGTCAGTTGTTAATTGTTCCAGCCATAGTACTGTGACTTATTCTTCTTAAAAATATTTGAGCACCTATAAAGATTTAAAATATAAATAGTATAAGGCTCAAGGAAGAGTAGAGAAAGATATGCTGGGATTATATGCACAATAAATGAACTACCTCAAGAATGTGTGTTATATCAGGTAAAGCAAACAGAGCTTAAAAGACAACTGCAAAAGGAAAGATCTAGTAAAATAGGTGGAGAAAATGAATACTACAACATTAATATACAACACAAGAGAAGACCTTACACACTAATATTATGCTATACAAAACAAGTGTTAGATAACATACTTGATCACTCTCGTCCATCTTGAAGGTCATCTTGTTAACAGTCTCCCCCACTCTGTTAAAGAGTCGCAGCACACCTGCACTACTAAGTGCTGAGGTTTGTGTAGCTCTGGGCAGCTCTGCATCTATTTATGGAAAATGAGTCAACACCAAATATAAACAAATACCAAAGCCTGTATATACAAATTTTTATCTCTAAAAAAAATTTGTTGGTGGACGAGTTTGGTAGGGTATGTAAAAAAGAAAATTAAAGTGAATATAGGAACGAGTAAGGTGATGAGGATAACAAAAAAAAAATTAGGTAACGAAAGATTGGATATCAGATTGGAGGGAGAGTATGGAGGAGGTGAATGTATTCAGATATTTAGGAGTGGACGTGTCATCAGATGGGTCTATGAAAGACGAGGCGAATCACAGAACTGATGAGGAAAAAAAGGCGAGTGGTGCACTGAGGAGTCTGTGGAAACAAAGAACCTTGTCCATGGAAGCAAAGAGGGAAATGTATGAGAGTATAGTTATACCAATGCTCTTATATGGGTGTGAAGCATGAGTGATGAATGTGGCAACAATGAGAAGGATGGAGGCAGTGGAGATGTCTTGTCTGAGGGCAATGTGTGGTGTGAATATATCCAGAGAATCCATAGTTTGTAAATTAGGAGGAGGTGTGGGATTACCAAAACCATTATCCAGAGGGCTGAGGAAGGGTTGTTGAAGTGGTTTGGACATGTAGAGAATATGAAACGAAATAGAATGACTTCGAGTGTATAAATCTGTAGTGGAGGGGAAAGTGGGGTATGGGTCAGCCTAGGAAAGGTTGGAGGAAGGGGGTAAAGGTGGTTTTGTGTGCGAGCAGCTTGGACTTCCAGCAAGCATGCACGAGCGTGTTAGATAGGAGTGAATGGAGACGAATGGTTTTTAGGACTTGATGTGCTGTTAGGGTGAGAGCAAGGTAATATTTATGAAAGGATTCAGGGAAACTGGCAGGCCAAACTGGAGTCCTGGAGATGGGAAGTACAGTGCCTGCACTCTGAAGGAGGGGTGTTAATGTTGCAGTTTTGTAACTGTAGTGTAAGTGCACCTCTGGCAAGACAGCAATGGAGTGAAGGATGAAAATTTTTCTTCCTCGGGCCACCCTAACTTGGTGGGAAACAGCCGATATGTTAAAAAAAAAAAAAGTTGATGTATATAAGCTTGTAAGAGGGGGCCAAGTACAGTAACAGTAAAGTTTAAGGTATGTGTGAGATGGTACACACAAATGTGAAGTAGAACGGCTTAGGAACAAGACGGAGGACTTGTAAAATTATTACAGTGCAGTATGTTTTGAATAACTCCCCAGTTCATTAAAATTAACTGCTGATAAATTAGACATGTGCAACTCTTGGTTTGCACATGTGTCTAATTTATCAACATGTCGGTTCTCTGAACCATTCATCTACAAAATTAACTGCCTTGAAATAAATGAATTATAGAAGAAAAAAACAAATGCCATTACATATATCAAGATTTGGATAAACATTACTACTGACAAAAAATGCATCACATTCTTTCAGAAATTAATTTGTTTCTGAAATTCTTCATTTTTATTTTTTTATTATCACACTGGCCGATTCCCACCAAGGCAGGGTGGCCCGAAAAAGAAAAACTTTCACCATCATTCACTCCATCACTGTCTTGCCAGAAGGGTGCTTTACACTACAGTTTTTAAACTGCAACATTAACACCCCTCCTTCAGCCTGCCGGTTTCCCTGAATCCCTCCATAAATGTTACTTTGCTCACGCTCCAACAGCACGTCAAGTTTTAAAAACCATTTGTCTCCATTCACTCCTATCAAACACGCTCACGCATGCCAGCTGGAAGTCCAAGCCCTTCGCACACAAAACCTCCTTTACCCCCTCCCTCCAACCTTTCCTAGGCCGACCCCTACCCCGCCTTCCTTCCACTACAGACTGATACACTCTTGAAGTTATTCTGTTTTGCTCCATTCTCTCCACATGTCTGAACCACCTCAACAACCCTTCCTCAGCCCTCTGGACAACAGTTTTGGTAATCCCGCACCTCCTCCTAACTTCCAAACTACAATTCTCTGCATTATATTCGCACCACACATTGCTCTCAGACATGACATCTCCACTGCCTCCAGCCTTCTCCTCGCTGCAACATTCATCACCCATGCTCACACCCATATAAGAGCGTTGGTAAAACTATACTCTCATACATTCCCCTCTTTGCCTCCAAGGACAAAGTTCTTTGTCTCCACAGACTCCTAAGTGCACCACTCACCCTTTTCCCCTCATCAATTCTATGATTCACCTCATCTTTCATAGACCCATCTGCTGACATGTCCACTCCCAAATATCTGAATACATTCACCTCCTCCATACTCTCTCCCTCCAATCTGATATCCAATCTTTCATCACCTAATCTTTTTATCCTCATAACCTTACTCTTTCCTGTATTCACTTTTAATTTTCTTCTTTTGCACACCCTACCAAATTCATCCATCAATCTCTGCAACTTCTCTTCAGAATCTCCCAAGAGCACAGTGTCATCAGCAAAGAGCAACTGTGACAACTCCCACTTTATGTGTGATTCTTTATCTTTTAACTCCACGCCTCTTGCCAAGACCCTCGCATTTACTTCTCTTACAACCCCATCTATAAATACATTAAACAACCACGGTGACATCACACATCCTTGTCTAAGGCCTACTTTTACTGGGAAATAATTTCCCTCTTTCCTACATACTCTAACTTGAGCCTCACTATCCTCGTAAAAACTCTTCACTGCTTTCAGTAACTTACCTCCTACACCATACACCTGCAACATCTGCCACATTGCCCCCCTATCCACCCTGTCATACGCCTTTTCCAAATCCATAAATGCCACAAAGACCTTTTTAGCCTTATCTAAATACTGTTCACTTATATGTTTCACACCCCCTACCTTTCCTAAAGCCTCCTTGTTCATCTGCTATCCTATTCTCCATCTTACTCTTAATTCTTTCAATAATAACTACCATACACTTTACCAGGTATACTCAACAGACTTATCCCCCTATAATTTTTGCACTCTCTTTTGTCCCCTTTGCCTTTATACAAAGGAACTATGGATGCTCTCTGCCAATCCCTAGGTACCTTACCCTCTTCCATACGTTTATTAAATAATTGCACCAACCACTCCAAAACTATATCCCCACCTGCTTTTAACATTTCTATCTTTATCCCATCAATCCTGGCTGCCTTACCCCCTTTCATTTTACCTACTGCCTCACGAACTTCTCCCACACTCACAACTGGCTCTTCCTCACTCCTACAAGATGTTATTCCTCCTTGCCCTATACACAAAATCACAGCTTCCCTATCTTCATCAACATTTAACAATTCCTCAAAATATTCCCTCCATCTTCCCAATACCTCTAACTCTCCATTTAATAATTCTCCTCTCCTATTTTTAACTTTTATCTACCAATACATAATCCAACAAACTACTGTCATTTTGCCCTACATCATATCTTGTATACTTATTTATCCTCTTTTTCTTAAAATATGTATTACCTATAACTACACCCCTTTCTACACAAAGTTCAATCAAAGGGCTCCCATTATCATTTACACCTGGCACCCCAAACTTACCTACCACACCCTCTCTAAAAGTTACTCCTACTTTAGCATTCAGATCCCCTACCACAATTACTCTCTCACTTGGTTCAAAGGCTCCTATACATTCACTTAACATCTCCCAAAATCTCTCTCTCTCCTCTACATTCCTCTCTTCTCCAGGTGCATACACGCTTATTATGACCCACTTTTCGCATCTAACCTTGAGCTTGAAGCTGAGCTCAAAGTAGAAGAAATACTTAATTTTTGCCAATTTTCCTGAGGACAGGCAAGGCCTCCATGCACCTCTGGTCTGTTTTATGGGTCTTTCATAGGTCTGATTCAATTATTGGAAAACTGTAACCCATGATCAATCAATCATTTCTTGTAATATATGATTACCCAAGAAATAAAGTAAATTTTCTATTTTTGTGTGATAATAAACTCAAAATGGAAGGCCAGTGTAATAGAGTAGAGGCCTGGGGACATGATTAATGAACAGAGAAAATATTCTTACAGTGCCAGGAATGTCTACATTATTTTTGACCTTTTAACCTTTAAACTGTCCAAACGTAGATCTATGCTTGCTCACATAGCACTCTGAAAGTAGACCTATTTTTTTACATTTGAAAGCATGTAAAATAAAAAGTAGATCTACGTTTGAAGCGCTACACGAGTGAACGTAGATCTACGTTTGGAGAGTTGAAGGGTTAAGCTTGTATTTTTTAATTTTGTGTAAAATTGGTCAAATTACCGACTTCTGTGCACTTTATGGGGGTAGTTGTAATACTTTAATGGATGATTTCTTGTGCTCAATCAAAAGAATGGAAGGCATACTAGCAAAATAGCTAAGAATTTGGTCAAATTGAGTAATGGAATAAACTTTGCAACTGTGTAATTCCATCAGTTTTCCCTCAAATTTTGTACTCTTGGTGCCATTACCTTCAGATAGAGATTCTCTACCATTTCAATTTTTTTTTTTTAAAGTGGATATGCAGAAATTTATATTTCGAGAGGCTGGACAGTGAAAAGGTTGAAAGTGCCAACGACTTCCTTGAAGATTAAAAAACCGAAGTCAAAAGTTGAAGCATCAACGTCTGGGGGCTACACTGCAAACAGGTGCTCATGAGTGAGGCAAATGTGCCCTACCTTCAAGTCGGCACAGAATCATCTCAGTGATGATCCTTAATGAAAGATTTTGGATCACTCACCTAATTCAATGAACTCTCTAAAATCTGGATCGGCTCTAAGTGTTGGGTGTGCACTTGTGCGGTTCATGTAACGCTCCAGAGATGCCCGCCGCTTCTCAATGAAGTCCGCTGAGGCAGAGTCAGTTGTTTTATCACTGCTAAGCTGCAGGAAAAAATATTAATTAAAAAACTATAACCTTCACCAGTATTTTTAAAGCAAAGACTGATTTAACAATGAGGTGAATAAAACTAGGCAGCATGCATGCATGCATGCATGCATGTGTGTGTGTGTGTACTCACCTAGTTGTACTCACCTAGTTGAGGTTGCGGGGGTCGAGTCCGAGCTCCTGGCCCCGCCTCTTCACTGATCGCCACTAGGTCACTCTCCCCGAGCCGTGAGCTTTATCATACCTCTGCTTAAAGCTATGTATGGATCCTGCCTCCACTACATCGCTTCCCAAACTATTCCACTTACTGACTACTCTGTGGCTGAAGAAATACTTCCTAACATCCCTGTGATTCATCTGTGTCTTTAGCTTCCAACTGTGTCCCCTTGTTACTGTGTCCAAACTCTGGAACATCCTGTCTCTGTCCACCTTGTCAATTCCCCTCAGTATTTTGTATGTCGTTATCATGTCCCCCCTATCTCTCCTGTCCTCCAGTGTCGTCAGGTTGATTTCCCTTAACCTCTCCTCGTAGGACATACCTCTTAGCTCTGGGACTAGTCTTGTTGCAAACCTTTGCACTTTCTCTAGTTTCTTTACGTGCTTGGCTAGGTGTGGGTTCCAAACTGGTGCCGCATACTCCAATATGGGCCTAACGTATACGGTGTACAGGGTCCTGAACGATTCCTTATTAAGATGTCGGAATGCTGTTCTGAGGTTTGCTAGGCGCCCATATGCTGCAGCAGTTTATTTGGTTGATGTGCGCTTCAGGAGATGTGCCTGGTGTTATACTCACCCCAAGATCTTTTTCCTTGAGTGAGGTTTGTAGTCTCTGACCCCCTAGACTGTACTCCGTCTGCGGCCTTCTTTGCCCTCCCCAATCTTCATGACTTTGCACTTGGTGGATTGAACTCCAGGAGCCAATTGCTGGACCAGGTCTGCAGCCTGTCCAGATCCCTTTGTAGTTCTGCTGGTCTTCGATCGAGTGTATTCTTCTCATCAACTTCACGTCATCTGCAAACAGGGACACCTCAGAGTCTATTCCTTCCGTCATGTCGTTCACAAATACCAGAAACAGCACTGGTCCTAGGACTGACCCCTGCGGGACCCGCTGGTCACAGGTGCCCACTCTGACACCTCGCCACGTACATTACTCGCTGCTGTCTTCCTGACAAGTATTCCCTGATCCATTGTAGTGCCTTCCCTGTTATCCCTGCTTGGTCCTCCAGTTTTTGCACCAATCTCTTGTGGGGAACTGTGTCAAACGCCTTCTTGCAGTCCAAGAAAATGCAATCCACCCACCCTCTCTCTCTTGTCTTACTGCTGTCACCATGTCATAGAACTCCAGTGGTTTGTGACACAGGATTTCCCGTCCCTGAAACCATGCTGGCTGCTGTTGATGAGATCATTCCTTTCTAGGTGTTCCACCACTCTTCTCCTGATAATCTTCTCCATGATTTTGCATACTATACATGTCAGTGACACTGGTCTGTAGTTATAAACGCTTCATGTCTGTCTCCTTTTTAAAGATTGGGACTACATTTGCTGTCTTCCATGCCTCAGGCAATCTCCTGTTTCGATAGATGTATTGAATATTGTTGTTAGGGGTACACATAGCGCCTCTGCTCCCTCTCTCAATACCCATGGGGAGATGTTATCTGGCCCCATTGCCTTTGAGGTATCTAGCTCACTCAGAAGCCTCTTCACTTCTTCCTCGGTTGTGTGCACTGTTTTCCAGCACTTGGTGGTGTGCCCCCCCTCTCCGTCTTTCTGGAGTCCCTTTGTCTCCTCTGTGAACACTTCTTTAAAATCTCTTGTTGAGTTCTTCACATACTTCACGGTCATTTCCCTGTTGTCTCTCCTCCTTCCTTCCTTAGCCGTTTTACCTGGTCCTTGACTGTTGTTTTTCCTCCTGATGTGGCTGTACAACAGTTTCGGGTCAGATTTGGCTTTCGCTGCTATGTCATTTTCATATTGTCTTTGGGCCTCCCTTCTTATCTGTGCATATTCGTTCTGGCTCAAACGACTGTTCTCCTTATTCTCCTGGGTCCTTTGCCTTCTATATTTCTTCCATTCCCTAGCACACTTGGTTTTTGCCCCCCTGCACCTTTTGGGTAAACCATGGGCTCATCCTGGCTTTTTCATTACTCCTGTTACCCTTGGGTACAAACCTCTCCTCAGCCTCCTTGCATTTTGTTGCTACATATTCCATCATCTCATTAACTGGCTTCCCTGCCATTCTCTGCCCCACTGAACCCCGTTCAGGTAGTTCCTCATTCCTGTGTAGTCCCCTTTCTTGTATTTTTGGCTTCATTCGTCCTGGCCTTCCTGCTTCTCCCTCCACTTGTAGCTCTACTGTGTATTCGAAGCTTAAAACCACATGGTCACTGGCCCCAAGGGGCCCTTTCATAATGTGATGTCCTCGATATCTGCACTACTGAAGGTGAATACTAAGTCCAGCCTTGCGGGTTCATCCTCTCCTCTCTCTCTTGTAGTGTCCCTTACGTGTTGGTACATGAAGTTCTCCATACCACCTCCATCATCTTAGCCCTCCATGTATTTTGGGCCCCCCATGTGGTCCAAGTTCTCCCAATCGATCTCCTTGTGGTTAAATCACCCATGATCAGGAGCTTTGCACTGCATGCATGAGCTCTTCTGGCCACTCTAGCCAGTGTGTCAACCTTCGCTCTATTGCTCTCGTCGTACTCTTGCCTTGGCCTCCTGCTGTTCTGTGGTGGGTTATACATCACTGCTATTACCACCTTGGGACCTCCAGAGTGAAGTGTTCCCACATGTAATCACTTTCTTCTCCGCTATCTCCTCTCTCCAGCTCATAAAAATTCCAGCGATTTTTGATCAGCAACGCCACTCCTCCACCCCCCCTGTTCCTCTGTCTTTCCTCAGGATTTGGTATCCGTTGGAAAGATGGCATCTGTTATCATACCTGTAAGCTTGGTTTCTGTAAGAGCTATGATGTCCGGTGATGCTTCTTTGACTCTTTGTGCCACTCCTCCCACTTATTTGTTATTCATCAGCGTTTGTGTACCATACCTTCAGTTTCCTTTTCCCAAAACACTGTGGTTTGGGGGCCTGTGGGGGTGGGAGCCCTGGTGGCATACTGGGGGATTCTATAGCTCGATGTTGGGTGGAGGCTGGGGGTATGGATTGTAGTGTGTGTTGGGATGGTGGGGATAGGTTGTATGGTTCTGAGAGTAGTTGTGTGTGTGCTTGCCCTTGCTGTTCTGTCCTGCTCTGACTGACCTCTGCTGATTCCCTCCCTTTTCTCTTTTCCTAGCTCCTTTCGTTTTTTTGTCCTCTCCCCCAGCTGCTGTCGTTCTGATTTTGTTCTGTCTCTGTCTAGGAACACCCTCTTGTACACTCCGAGTATTTCAATCGTGGTTTCTCTTGGAGGATCCTGTTCGCACTGTTTCCGTCCTGAGAATCAGCTTGATTGGTCGGGTTTTTTTCCCCTTCGAGTACCCCCCTATTCTCTGAAAATTTACAATCTCGTCCATCTCTTCACCTATTTCCGTGATGATTTTCTCAATCTCCTTTCCTTCTTCCTGCTTCCTTTCAGTGTGTGTCCTTTCCCCTCTCTCCTGAAGCCCAAAGGATAAAAACTGATTTTGCTCTTTCTTCCTCCCATTGCCTCACCCTCTGTGACTCTGGATCCTGCCTGTATGTGGTCAGTTTCTCCCCTTTATTTTTTTCCCGTGGCTCTTGATAGCCTTGTTGTGCCTCAGCATTCGACCTATACCCTCTCCATCTTGCATCCAGCTGATCTTCCCTTTCACTCCTTGGTCCTCCTTGGCAATTGATGTGACCTTAGCATAATTCATAATTCCTTCCTTCCTGTTCAGCCTCGCAGCTTCATATGCTGTGTCTTCTCTGGTCACTGCCCCTGTAACTCGCTCCAGCCTATTTATCTCAACTTCTAGGACCCTTATCTTGGCTACTGCAGTTTCGACTTGTGCCTCCCAATTCTTTGTTTCCTGCTCCAACCTCCTTTCCAATTTCACAGAGAGCTCTTTCTCCATTTTTTCAGAAAGCTCTCCTAATTTTCTCTCCCACTCTTGTTCCATCCTTTTCCACTGCTCCTCCTGTGTGTGTGTGTGTGTGTGTGTGTGTGTGTGTGTTTTTCTCTCTTGGCAGCCAGAGGATGTAGCTTCCACTATTATTTACACCAAATGATGCAAATTGATTTCCTGCTTCATATAGTTAATAACAGGCTGATTTTGTTAAAGATTTCCATGGTATCTGTATACTGTCACTCCAATCTGAGAGTTTTATTTTTTTTTTTCCCAAATAATTTTTTTTATAATTTTTTTTTTTTTTTTTTTAACTTAACAGCCCTCTCCTACCACAGCAGAAGACACAAGAAAACATTCACCAACATTCAATCACTCTCACTTTATAGAAGTGTGCCGACATCACAATAAGACTATCCTCCAACTGCAACATCCCCACCCCTCTTCCAGTGTGCTCTGGAGTTCAGCACTGTCCTTCCCTCCTCCAGGACTCGAGTCCATCTAACCTATTTCCCTGAATCCCTCATAAAAGTTACCCTGCTCATACCTCGACAGCACCTATTAAAAATAAACATGAAAATAATACAAACCCTGTACCTCCCTTAAAGAATTGGCAACATGGTTACTGCTGTGATAAAAACGTCATTAAATATTGATAACTTTGTTGCATTTGATGAGTCAATTTTTCCTGCTCTCACAGCTCAGCCCTAGGCCAGGCATATCTGGCATCTGCATGCCAAACCAGGCTGTATTACTGGTGGCCAAAAGGCCCACATATCTATCACAACCTGGTTGATTTGGCAGATGGTGGAAGAAATTGCCTACTTTCCACTTTAAGACTACTACACTTGTTCCTGCAGTGTTGATGATGTCTTCTAGCAAGATGTTTGAAAAGTCTGGTGGTACTTATGTTGATACAATGTTCTCTTATTTTGCCAAAGGCACCCCTGCCTTTTAATGGGTTTATTCTACACATTCTCTCATATCTCCCACCCCAGTATGTTATGGCAGTGTGCAGATTTGGGATGAGGTAACGAAGTATTTTCCATGTATATGTCATTTATCTCTCTCTCTCTCTCTCTCTTTCACTCCAGAGAGTATATATTTAGGAGTATGAGGAGTTCCCAGTAATTTAATTGCATTACTGGCTTTATGTGAGCCATAAACAATCCTGCCATTCCTGTAAATGTTCAAAGCCTTTCTCCGTATTGGTGACAATCTGGTTAAACAAATCCAAATACTGGCACCTCAAATTAAAGATATCTGCATCTGCTTACATGTTCAAGCCAAGACCAATAATTTAACTGGATATTGTCAGGGAGGATGCATTTTAAGTAGTCCCTTTGTTTATTCAACCGAGATGCTCAACTCAGGTTGATTATTGTCCAGACATCTTGCTCATATTTACTATACAGAGGTATTTGACCCATAAATTACTGATCTGAAAAATAAAAATTACTAATAAAGCAAACAAAAGTGAGTGAATTTTGACATTGGGCTCCTGGGAGATACTATGTCACAGTTGATACACATCAGTAAACATCTGCTACTCAAGATTTAATCAAGTCTAGAAATTAATTTCAGAGTCCAGAATATACAGTTTTCTCAAAGCCCTGTTGAAGACAAAGTCAAGACATTATTGCATTAGGCTAAATGCTCCCTTAAACATAATTACTGCTTATGTAAGCAAAATTGGTATTGCCTGTATACAGGTGGCCCTCCACATTCACGAGTTCCACTTTCGCGAGCTTTGAAAATTTGCGAATGTCCAGATGCCCAATCATAACATGTATATACAATATTTTACAATGTTTTCATATGTTCTATGATTGTTTGTGATTCAAGAGGTTAAGGAAGCAGTATTGTTAGGTTAGGTAAATGCTATTGCTCAAGATTCATTAGGTTCTTGATCCCTAACCCTCACGAATATGGAGGGCCGCCTGTATACAGTACTATGCAATAAGATCACAGTACACAGGTGATATCACAATATGCAAAATAACCACTGAAAAAATAGTGAATTTCCCAGCACTTTCATGATTTCTCACATTATCAAGGAACTGTAAAAAATAATATGGCATCTGCTGTTCTGTTACTTTTTTTTACAATTCCTTGATAGTATGAGAAATCATGAAAGCACTTGGAAATTTATTATTTTCTTACAGTGGTTATTTTGCATACAGTATGATATAAAAAGTTCAAAATTTTAGCTACGAAATCTAAACAAGGAGTTACCTTGATCTTCGTTGTACCAATGGCAGACTTCTCTGGAGCTGGGGGAATAATGCGCCCAGAATGTAGATGTTTTTCCACCAGCTTTCTGTGCAACCCCAGGAAGTCACTGAACCGACGCATCACGCTCCAGTTCTTTTTTCTGTTAAAAAAAATTTATGGAGTAATGATTAATATTAAATCACATTCCAATTGCCTATTACAAGCAATGCCTAGCTAAATAAGTGATGCACACACTTATATCGGTCAGCCAGACGAGTACTGGAGGTGGAAAGTACAAAGCCTGGACTTTAAAGGAGGGGGTTTGGGATATTTGCTGTATAGATTAACATTTAAACTGTCGTATCTGTGCACCTCTGGCAAGATACTGATAGTGTGAATGATGGTGAAAGTGTTTCTTTTTTAGGTTGCCCTGCCTCAGTGGGAAATTACCAGTTTGTAAAAACATACACTATTGTTTGCATAATAAAAATTTCAACATTTTGGCTGTCTCCTACCAAGGCAAGGTGACCTGAAAAAGAAGAAACGTAAAGCTTCCTTTTTAAATTTAATAATTTATACAGATAAGGTAGTAGGTTGGTAGACAGCAACCGCCCAGGGAGGTACTACCGTCCTGCCAAGTGAGTGTAAAACGTAAGCCTGTAATTGTTTTACACGATGGTAGGATTGCTGGTGTTTTTTCTGTCTCATAAACATGCAAGGTTTCAGGTACGTCTTGCTACTTCTGCTTACACTTAGGTCACACTACACATACATGTACAAGCATATGTATACACACCCCTCTGGGTTTTCTTCTATTTTCTTACTAGCTCTTGTTCTTGTTTATTTCCTCTTATCTCCATGGGGAAGTGGAACAGAATTCTTCCTCCGTAAGCTATGCGTGTTGTAAGAGGTGACTAAAATGCCAGGAGCAAGGGGCTAGTAACCCCTTCTCCTGTATATATTACTAAATATGAAAGGAGAAACTTTTGTTTTTCCTTTTGGGCCAACCCACCTCGGTGGGATACGGCTGGTGTGTTGAAAGAAAGAAAGAAATTTATACAGAAGGGGGTTATTAGCCCCTTGCTCCCAGCAATTTTAGTAGCCTCTTATAACATGCACAGCTTATGGAAGAAGGATTCTTTCTGCTTCACCATGGAGATTCTAATAGTTACTTGATAAAAAAAAAAAGTATGCAAGCATGTGAATGCATGAACAGCATTTAACCCTTAAACTGTCCAAACATAGATTACGCCTTTTCAACAGTTGAAAGTATGTAAAAAAGCAGTTTTTTTTTTTTACATTTGAAAACGCGTAAAAAAACTTTGATCTACTTTTTTTTTTTGTTATATTTGAAAATAGGTAAAAAAAATGTAGATCTACTTTTGGAGCACTATGCATGTGAACGTAAATTTGTTTGGACAATTTAACCTTTTCAGGGTTTCGGACGTACTAGTACGGCTTACACACCAGGGTTTTTGACGTACTAGTACGCCTAAATTCTAGCGTCCTCAAATCTAGTGAGAGAAAGCTGGTAGGCCTACATATGAAAGAATGGGTCTATGTGGTCAGTGTTCGCAGTATAAAAAAATCCTGCAGCACACAGTGCGTAATGAGAAAAAAAAAAACTTTGACCATGTTTTCGATTAAAACAGCGACTTTGCACTGTATTTTCGTATGGTATTTATTGTTGTATTCTAGTTTTCCTGGTCTCATTGTAAAGAATGGAAGACATATTACAGAAATTGAGATGATTTTGACTGGTTTTACAATGAAAAGTACCTTGAAATTGAGCTCAAAGTAGCAGAAATGTTCAATTTTTACCAAAGTTCAAAAGTAAACAAATCATGCTATGCGTCCAATACACGTCAACTGGTGAGTCTAATATTCTTTCACAAGTGTGCTGATATTATTTATACCATTTCTACACTAATGCAGTAGTCTGCATAACAGTAAATCTTCTATTTTTTGAGAATAAAAATTCAAAGTGGAAAGCAAAAGAAATGTAAGACGGGCGTGGGAACATGACTAATGAACAGAGGAAATGTTATTTTAGTGCCAGGAGTGTCTTTCTTGTTTATTCTGGACCCTATTCGGAAACTGGCATCTTTTGAAATTTGTGTGAAATTAGCAAAATTGCTAAATTCCGACCACTGTATTGAATAGTTGAAATCGGTAAATGGGTGGTTTCTTGTACTCATTCGATAGAAAAAATGGAGTTCTAGCGAAATAGTTATGATTTTTGTCGACTAGTACACTGGAATTGGCCGAAAATAAGGCTCAAAGTGGGCAAAATCGCTGATGCGTAAACATCGTCGAGACCGCTAACTTCATGAGAGCATAACTCCGTATGTTTTCCATCAAATTTCATACTTTATGTGTCATTATGATCGGGAAAAGATTCTCTATCTGTTCAAAAGAATTTTTTTTTTTTTTTTTTTTTTTAAATTTTGGCGACCCTGAGAACAAGTCTCGGAGATGGCCTGGGGACCCTGAAAGTGTTAAGGGTTAAGAAAACCTCTCTGAACTGTCTTTAAAAAAGCTGAAGATTAAATTTGATTTTTTTCTAAAATTTAGCAGAAATGTTTAGCCTGAGGGTTCAAAGCCTTTTTACTTACTTTCACACACACATTAACAAATTAATAATTTTATATGTCAAAAACAGTTGGTTTGCAAAATGACCTCCAGAGGTATACACTGCTTAACCCTTAACCCTTTGAGGGTCGACAGGCCCTCTCCGAAACTCGTTCTCAGGGCCGGCCAAATTTAAAAAAAAAAAATTATTTTCTCTTATGAAAAGATAGAGAATCTTTTCCCGATCATAAAGACACCAAAAGTTTGAAATTGATAGAAAACTTACGGAATTATGCTCTCGCAAAGTTAGCGGTCTCGGCGATGTTTACGCATCGGCGATTTTGCCCACTTTGAGCCCCATTTTCGGCCAATTTCACTGTAGTAGTCGACAAAAAACATGAATATTTCGCTAGAACTCCATTTTTTCTATCGAATGGGTGCAAGAAACCACTCATTTATGAAATTCAACTATCCAGTACAGTGGTCAGAATTTAGCAATTTTGCCAATTTCACACAAATTTCGAAAGATGCCAATTCCGAATAGGGTCCAGAATAAACAGAAAGACATTCCTGGCACTAAAATGACATTTCCTCTAGTCATTAGTCATGTCTCAAGGCCCCTCTTATATTCTTTTGCTTTCCACTTTGAATTTTTATTTTCACAAAAAATATAAGATTTACTGTTATGCAGACTACTGCATTAGTGTAAAAAATGGTATAAATATTATTGGTGCACTTGTGAAAGAATATTAGACTCACCAGTTGACGTGTATTGCACGCTTGGCACGATTTGTTTACTTTTGAAGTTTGGTAAAAATCGAACATTTCTGCTACTTTGAGCTCAATTTCAAGGCACCTTTCTTTGTAAAACCAGTTAAAATCATCTCAATTTCTGTAATATGTCTTCCATTCTATAAAATGAGACCAAGAAAACTAGAATACAAAATAAATACCATACGAAAATACACTGCAAAGTCGCTGATTTATTAAAAAAAAATGGTCAAAGTTTTTTTTTTCTCATTATGCACTGTGCTGCAGGATTTTTTTTAGACTGTGCACACTGACCACATAGACCCATTCTTTCATATGAAGGCCTACCAGCTTTCTCCCACTAGATTTGAGGCCGCTAGAATTTATGAGTACTAGTACGTCAAAAACCCCTACGCGTAAGACGTACTAGTACGACGAAAACCCTCAAAGGGTTAAACGGTCCAACCGTATATATACATTCACGTGCGTAGCGCCCAAAATGTATATATACGTTTTCTTTGTCATTCATTCAACATTGCCACGATAAGCCTGAGTCACCTAGACGTGAGAGAAAGGGTGTACGCACTCACTGTGTACCATATTAAAATAATTGGGGACACCTGGGTACCATATGCACTTTCTTCCTATTAAAAAAAAAAACAATTTTTTTTCTCTCAAAAAATTTGGGGCGCTACGCGAGTGAACGTATATATTGTTTGGACCATTTAAGGGTTAATTATAACTCATAACAATGCATAGAATTTTACAAGTAAAAAAAAAAAAAAAACTTCAAAGGACTCCCCCATACACACAATGGATATGTGTGTTACTCAGTTTATCATAGTACACTGTGCTTTTGGAAGATCCTAAAGAAAAGTTGCAGAAGTTGGAGGACAAATTTGGGAGGGTGTGTAAAAAAAAAAATAAATTAAAAGTGAACAGAGGAAAGAGCAAGGTGATGAGGAAAACAAAATTTAGGCAATGAAAGACTGGATATCAAACTGGAGGGAGGGAGTATGAAGGAAGTGAATGTATTCATATTTTTGGGAGTGGACTTGTCAACAAATGGGTCTATGAAAGATGAGGTTAACCATAGAACTGATGAGGGGAAAAAAGGCGAGTGGTGCACTGACGAGTCTGTGGAGACGAAGAACGTCATCCACAGAAACAAAGAGGGAAATGTATGAGAGTACAGGAGGGTCCTGCTCTATGGCGTGTCACTTTACAGCATTTTGCAAACAAGGGCATTTCAAATTATGACCAAATCATTAATATGGTCACATCGTGCCACAGTTTGTTTACATACTCCACGAGCTCCGTGTCTCTCCATTATGTCGGGAAACTTTCCAAAATTTCAAGTGTTTTAAAGTTAGTGCATATTTTATATATACTATGACAATTATATTTGTGTACCTGTACTTAAATAAACTTGCACACTGTGCTGGAGTACAGGTACACATTAAAATCACTAAGTGTGTCTCACTGATCTTGAAAATGCGACGATAATAATAGTAATAATTATAGGTAGTAGGTTGGTAGACAGCAACCACCCAGGGAGGTACTACGGTCCTGCCAAGTGAGTGTAAAACGGAAACCTGTAATTGTTTTACATGATGGTAGGATTGCTGGTGTCTTTTTTTTGTCTCATAAACACGCAAGGTTCCAGGTACATCTTGCTACTTCTGCTTACACTACACATACATGTACAAGCATATATATACATACATACCCCTCTGGGTTTTCTTCTATTTTCTTTCTAGTTCTTGTTTATTTCCTGTTATCTCCATGGGGAAGTGGAACAGAATTCTTCCTCTGTAAGCGATGCGTGTCGTAAGAGGC